AGAGAGGGGAGGAGGGGCAGCGGACTTCCCTGGTTTGCTGCTGGAAATCAGCATTTTAGGGCCTTGTAGTCATTTCCTTGCTAGTGTGAGGAAACTTTTTGTACATTTATATAAAATAGGAGGCCAGAAGTGCACACCCCCATCTTACTTCCTAATATATTATGTTCTCCCCTGCCGAGTCCTGGGACTTAGTCTGGATTTGGTAACTGAAGTAATATAAATGTTAGCTAAGAAGTATTCCAGCAATATGGTTCCAATTTAAGCTTGTTTTGAAGTCTAAAGGACTAATATGTCTCAGAGATTCTTCACTGGATATTTAGCTCTAACGTAATTTGTACAGGAGTGCACACTGCTCTCTAGAAGCCCTTCTGCAACGCTCCAGAAAACAGGTTCCTTCCCAAGCAGGACGCAGAACAATCAGGAGTCCTGGCTCTTGCTGACAACTCACTTGCTTCTCCTGAATTTTGGGGCTTTGCTTGGGAAATGGTGTCATATTTGCCAGGTCTTGCAGATAAATGAAGGTGCAGCGGCACTGCATATTGCCACTGGTTTCACTCCCCTCTTCCTCTTGCTTTTCAGGGATGAAGCAAGCCACCTCTGAAGGAAGCCATGCTCTGCAAGCTGTTTGCACTTTACTTCAATAACATGCTTCTTGCAATGCTGGCTTTATTTGTGTAGACATGCATTCTCAAGGTTTGCCTGCCCCCTTTTCCTCCCTCACACCCCTATGGAGCCCCTGCCTGAATCCAAGTAATGAGCTAACCCATGGAACTCATTGCCCTTTATCTTGCTGGGGAACGTGCACCTTTTGAACTGCCATCTGCAGATTGTGTTGATGCACTGACTTGTTAACTGTGCCATACTGTGAAGGAAATGGCATGATTTAGATCAAGTGCTCTGGACGGCTGTTCATAAGAAACACTTGAGCCAAGCTGTTACTGCTCAGGATGTGCCCTGGGGAGAGGGGTTTCGTTTCGGGTCATGCTCTTGCCTTGTATGAGGGCAGGCGCAAAGTACTGAAATCACAGTCCTTCCCTGAAGCTGAGGGGAGGGGGGAGGAGAAACATTATGAAACCATAGAAGCGAAGCTGCCAAATTAACTTCTCACCCTTTCAATCACACTCCAGAGGATAAAAGCCTAACATTTCTGCCTCAGAAATAGGCTCAGCTTACACCAAACAAGTTATTTCTCTAATTTATCAGACTTGCCAGCTATCATTCTAATTATTGGAAACCTCAGACTTTTTATGAAGTCAGAAGTACAGCATTATTTGCATGGTTGTAATGTATCACTAGATAAATAGGTTTTGGGGAAAGAAAGGGTTTTTAGAAAGGAATCTGCAGGTTTCTTTACACAGTTAGGGATTTAAGAACACTATCACTGAAAATAAAAAGGTTCTGGATTTAATTTTCTTAAAAAAAAAAAAAAAAAGCAAATTCCAACATAACGTAACATAGTTCAAGTCAACATGAGAGGAGGAGACCATGACGGAAAGCTCATCAAAAGACTCTCATTGACTTTCACTGGCTTTGGATCAGCCCTTAATTCTTTATCTTCACTTGCATAGCAGCATAATCACAGAAACAGCCTAACACCCTGCAGTCAGGCCAGGCAGAGGACTCAGCCATCCAGACAGGCTGTTCACTAGGCCTTTCAAAACGCAAACACTGATTTGTCCATTATATGTAAATGGATGATTAGAGTCATTCTCTAAGACAAATTTACTTTTCTGCACACTCTAAATCTGTTTAGTCACTTTAAAGGTGTCAATTATTGGAGCATGCTAAGACTATGAATTTCTTAGTAATAGCTTTAATAACATTTTAAAATGAAAAGCAGATACCTTGAAGTTGGCTTACTTTGAAAAGACATATGAGTAGATCTGGTTTTAATTTATGTCCTATTCTACATCTGGAATCCCTTATAATTAAAACTAAAAGCTGGACTACTACTTCCACCTGTCAAATGATGAAAAGATGAATGCACTAATAGCTTACTAAATAGCCCAACATGATAGAGTTTACTTTCCCGTTCTATACAGTAAAAAAAGGATTTTGGACAGGAGGCTAAAGGTCTTTGGTCATTACTAATAGCACACTTTCAGTATTAACCTACATACCCCACTACCACCACCACCAGTGCCTTTTAGCACCAAGATCTCTAAACTGCACTTTGCATTTTGATTAGATGCATGTATTCATCTCTGCTGCTGCAGTGTTTCAAGCTTTTCCAATCTACAGGTGGATTCTCTCTCCTATAACTATTTTCAATCACTCCCCATTTTCCTTCCTCCCACTTTATTCTCTAATTAACTACTTTAATCCATCAAGTTTTCTATCCACATTTCTGAAGCATTCTTATTCCAAATGACAGCATTCCTGTGAGCAGTCCAGGGCATGTGACAACTTGGACTCTATTTTCTCATCTTCTTATGCTGTTTCTTTTTGATCTCACCCTCTCCTGTTCCTGTTGATCCACCTGTCTCATTTTACTACACTGTCTCACTCAAGAGAATTTTAACGCATGTATTTGTACAGAGTCAAACAGAAGTAGACCCTCAGAAGATAAGCAGGGCCTTGATGTACAGAGACAGTATCAATAAAATGACAGCTGTTAGATTAACAAGTTAAAACACAATAAAAATATTCTTCTACAGAAATACTGAACACTTTTCCCCTAATGTGTTGATACATCACCCATGAGTCTTTATAGATGTCCAGTCAGATTATGAACCTCCTATGGGAATTCATGAGATTACAGCTCTCGAGTGTGAGCCTACAGCCTCTTTTTGGCTCTTAAGAGCCATCCTTTCCAGCACAAGCTTGCCCATTTATCATTAAAGTTGTATAAAAACCTAATCAAACAAAAAAAACACAGAGGGGTGAATCCGTTTGCAATGCTATACATTAATTTTAAAAATAAATGAAGAGCAAAGGAGTGAGTTTCCAAAGGAAAACTTTGGTTCTGTCCTCACACAGTCCTTGCAGTGGACAGCCAGCTGTGTGGGCAGCCTCTGAAGATTGCCTCATCGCCTGCTCTTGTTTCCTCTGTTCATAGAAATATGAAAACAGGATTTTGCTCTGCTTGAAAAATAGTTTGGAACAGTCCAAACTATGAAGGTGTTTACTCTAGATAAAGCAGTCTTATTAACACTGTTAGCATTAATGCTATCCTCACTGTTTCCAGTGGACAAAGAGTCCCAGTAGTTCTTACAGTTCTGGAGACTGTTAAATAAAGTATTTTCACATTACTGTGTTCCTCAAAGGAAAATAAAAGTCTTGTCTCCTGAGTCTCTAGACAGCTGCTCAAAAGCCTCCATGGCATACTGATGCCAAGAGACAGGAATATTCCAGCAAAATGTTCTACTAAGACAGACAGCTATGGAAAAAGCTGTCCCAAATATTACAAATGCGCAGCACTCAACTTCTTACGTCAAAGCAAAGAGTAATGTTTCGACTGCCCCAGCAAGTAGGAAATGATGCAGGTATTAAACACTATTACGAGAACAGAGACACATTAGTTACTGCTTATGCTGTAGGACTGTGAATGGAGCTTTTTGTTGTGGAGGATTTTCAGGGGGAAAGTTAATACACTTTGTCCAGACCATGAGATGGTACAAATCAGTGTAGTTCCATCTAAATCAATGGATCAGTGTTGATTTACAGCAGCTGAGGATCAGCCCCCTCTTTTTTGGCCTGCTGAGGATTGTATAACATATACTGCCTAGAAACACTGATGACAAATTTGAAACTGTGTAGGGATATGCTGAACCAAAAGCCTGATTCAAACCCAAACTGGCTACTCTCCTTTTAAATCACTAAGAGCTGCTGTCTTAAATGTTACTGTCAAACGAGCATTTTTAAACATGTATCAAAATCTAGCACTGCACCCTCCGGTCTGTGCCACGGATGCTACATTCCACACAAACTCAAACCCGCCTAGTGCCAATTCATAAACGATGTGTTGGTTTAATCTATTTTTCACAGGGGGTGTTTCAGAACAGGAAAATTAGAAACAGGTAGAAGGGACTATTATTACTGTCTCATAGTGTGCTCTTGTACATGAGGATCGGATTAAGATAACATCTGGTCTATATTTCTTGAACTATTTCCCTTTTATCACAAGAAAATCGGCAACCCATCTCACAACTGCTCCTAATTTAGATCTAAATGTCACTGATGAAACATTGTACAACATGCTGTTATCTATTAAAATGATTTCCCTGAAGGAACAGTGGATACTTTTATATTTTCCAGTGAAGCCAACCATATTCCCCCTTAGCACTAACTAGTTGCCTTATAATCATATACTCAAACGGTAAAGGTAAAATCACTTTGGAAAAAACAAATGAGTCCCCACCAAATCTTCAGCTGGTGGAAATTAATGCCTGCTCACTGATTTCAGTGAAGCAAGCTCCATTTACACCACCCTCCTTATGATAATGGCTTTGATTCACACACGGTCCAAACCTGCAAGGTGCTAAGGCTGTTCTGCACTCACTGGTTTTAAGAGGAACTGATTAAAGCCAGGGCCAGGCTCAAATGCATAACTTAGCAACATTTTTAAGTATGCGCTTCAGGCCTTGACTTTCATGCACGCAGCAGAGGAACAGTGAACAGTCCAGAGATTTTTGCTGGGAAGCAGAAAGGCAGAGCACAGCACACTGTCATCCCTCTCATTTGGTTCAAACAGAAAAACTGTCAGTGGAATGCAGTAATCTTTTTTTCAGCACTTTGCAGAGTTCAAGTCCCCAGAAAGTAGCCTATTGAGTTCAGCAAATAAAAACTTCTGTTTTCTTCACGAGTCTATAATTCATTTTCATGGACAGTAAATCAGAAAATGGAGGGGAAAAGCACTTTACAATCTCAAACTATTTTGCATACCTTTGCTGCACATCAGTTTTACCCATTTCGATCATATTGTTACCACTTAAAAAGGGGGAATTAGATAAGCATACGTCCCCTGCATTAACTGGTTTAATTTAAAAGTAATCTCTGCCATCTGGAATTACTATTTACTGTTGTTTGGAGGAAGAGGGAAAAAAAGAGAATCTGAAACTGTAGAAAAGATCATCACAATTTCTTTCAAAGAATACCCAGTCTGAAGGAGGGCGAAGCATACAAGGAATGTAATTGATTACCCACCAGTCAACTTGTATATTTTGGAGGGAATTCCAAGAATAAAAAGTCTCTAGCAGTTATCAGCGGTCAGACTGGAGCCATTCATTTTTCACCTGCTTATGTTTGTTGTCTGGCACCCAGTCAAGGGTGCTATTAGCAGAATTAAGCTCCACAAGAAAAGATTACCCTGTAGGAGGTAAGATAAAGACTGGAAAGTGTGGCTTGTTATCAGTATCACAATAAGGACCAGGTCAGAAAGGATTCAGTGTGGGTTTTCATTTCAAACAGGTAATCTCTACTGAAATAATAGAGTAATTGTTGCTTTGAAACCTTTATGTGCTGCAGAATACTACAGATCATTTGATGCAGATTCTGGATTTAATGAAGAACTCCAACAAGCCTGAAACAGACACACAGAGAAAGCAAGAAAAGAACAGTGCACCAGTGGAAAATGTCTTTATCCTCTAATTCCAGGTCAATATAGTGAAACATAAAATATTATTCAGGGCAGTTTTATACCTTGATTTATGTGTCCCCTCCTTCTCAGTCTGCTTTCTATCTGTCTATAAAGTTTTAGTCTATAAACATGCAGTAATGTAATACAAAATATTGCAAGAGTAATAACATACACAATTACAGTACATCTCACAAATCCTGAACACAAGCAATGAATCAAAGCTTTCCAGGACTATTCCTTGAAATACATTTTTTTCTTAGGTTTTATTCAAAGGCTTGAAACCAGTCACTGGGACAAGCTGCAAGAGCAAAATGCACGTTGCAGATGATATACAGCATTTTATGTTTTTCTGGCAAATTGCCTTAATGTTTGCCTTGAAAAGTAATTGTTGAGTGGGTTTTTTGGCTTTTTTTCTTTATAAAGATAGTGCACCTTTCTTTTGGTTTGGAAATTAACCTGCACTTTGGTTTCTTACTGTCTGCAGAAAGTGCTAACCAGCAAAATACTTGAACTTCTTGGTCTCAAAATACAAAGGATGAACTGGCAAACACTGGCAAGGTACAAAGAAAATATAGCAAAGAATTCTTTCATCTATAGCTTCTTACCTTATGGCAATCTTCAGTTTTCAAGCCTTGGAAGCATTTAAAGAAAGCTCTAATCTGGTGTGGACTTCATCAGCCTTACACATAGTCCTTTTCCAGCCATGCCACAAGGAAGGAAGCCGGGTAAAAGCAGGCCAAGGCTATAATATCTTCTGCTGGAGAAATTCTGAGTTCTGGCTGTAGAGGAGAAAACAGTAGATTATGCAGAGTTATTTCACATGAAGGCAGTTCCCTGATCCTACTTCAATTACCACAGGGTAATTTACAGCCCTCAAAACAACCTGAAGAGGACAGAGGCTATGATTTCAACCCAGAATTCCAGTGGCAAATCCACAAACATGGCTATAATGCCCATTGTTATGTGATGTATTTATGTGTGCTTGCTCCCTCCCTCCCTCCGTTCCTGATAGCACTTAGTATCATACTGTCCTATGCCTGGTTTCAGGTATGCTATAATTTACACTTCAGAGTTTTCAAGAGCTGTCTGAGGATCTCTGAGCTTGCACAGTTTTTATTTTAGAAATCTTGCAAAAGCAGGGGATTTGCAGAAAATAATCTATATACCAAGATTTCAATATAACGATGGAATTGTGGGTAACTACAAAAGGGCCAACACAGCATCAATTCCAGATAAGACTATTATAAGGTTGTGATGAGATGCAATCAGTTATAAAGCCAAAGTCTCACTACCCAGATAGTATCAATCCTCTTGATGAAATACAATACGGCTCTTAAATGCTTAAAATGGTTTCATTATTACATGTTTGTTTGGTTAAAAGTAGTGGAGCTGACAGAATAAACCAAAAAACTCTACAGGGTACACTCCACAAAATGTCAATTTTAAAATAGTACTTTATCAAAACTGATTCAGCACCCAGTCTGTGGCTTGAAAATGGCCAAGAAACCACTGCATGTGGAAAATCGAGTCCAAAGGTGCAAAGATCACAGTATGGGAGCTCCAAGAGACATAGCACAAGGAGTAGTGCAGGGATCTCACTGTGGACAGTGCCATGCAATTATATTCCACAGTTCAGAGGAACAGACAGTACTGCTGCTGATAAAGTTTGCAGATGATAGAAAGCTGGGTGAAGGAATGAATAACAACAAGGATATGCCAGTTTTTCAGTTTGTCCTGGGCTATTTAATAGGTGGAGCTTATTTGTCTATTTACACATCTTGTAATACAACCAGATGCAAGGTCATGGCTCTTGGCAAGGTCAATGAAAGGCTGGCTCAGCATTAAGAGCTATTTGGTTCCTGGTTGGGGTATATTAGCTACAATTTTGCCCCCTGAACAAGGCCAGTCACTTCAGGAATTCCAAACCTGTCCTAGTGGAAAGGTCTACACTGTCCAAATATTGTCTGCACTACCTACAGTAACACTAACTGGTTCTAAATCCAGGCAGGAGAAAGGAGCCAGCCTGGAAGGCAAATCTGTGTCCCAGCCTTTTAAAGTTGATTACTGAAACAATTACTTACTCGAGTCTTGTATTTTGCTAACCTATTTCGATTACTACTTTTGCTCCTGTGATACCTTAGAGGAAAAGAAATCACTACACAGACCAAAAGAAAAAAAGAAAAAAAAAAGAAAGAATAAAGATGGAAAGTTCCTTATTCATAATAAAACTCTGACTCGGATTCTAAAATGAGCTCCACAGGTGCAGCCTCCCGGCTCTCCTGACTCCACTGGAGTCACTGGGGAGTACATGGGCTTGCCTACAGAAGGATCATGGCAGATTTGAGCACACGAGCTGAGGGGGTTGATCCTGCTAACACTTCATACCAGGCATGAAGCCAGGTGCACAGAGATATTCAAACTAAATCCTAATTAAGTGTCTGAATTCCCAGGGAAATTCATGGGTAATTAGATGCCCAAATATCAGCATGGATATTGATCCAGATGCTTATCACTGTGAGTATACCACTGATTTTCAGAGATGATGGCATTTGCCATTTTATTCTCATTTACCTCTTTTTCTTGAAGGGGAGAGAAGTAAGCCCTGAGGATGACTGCACTATCATTCATTGTTCATACACTAGCATTTTCTCAAAGAAAAGAACGACTTTTATACCTAAATTTGAACCTGAGCAACACAGGGAGAAAATCAGCACATCACTAGAAAGCACAAGGCTTGAAAGTTGTGGCAAATATGTACTGTAAAACCTTATAAAAGAGCTAGAAGATCTTAAGACATTTATATAGTCTGAAACACAAAGACCTATATGCTTTGTACCACATTACCACTGAAATAAGCTGATAAAAATATTTGGTGACTAAACCAAAATAAAAACATTCTGATTTCACACTAAAGGTATGCTCTGCTTCTAACAGGAAATAAGAATCCTGCACCTATTAGATCATATCTTTGCTACCCACTCAGAGTAAATGATTGATATAACAGTCATGTTGAATCAAGATGCTCGTTCATTCTTTTCTTTCTCTAAAGAGTGACTTTCAGCCAACAGATTTTTTTTTTCCCTCAGAATATCTGTGATTCCTGAGATTCTTTGAGGCTCTTCCCTTAATAATTGGAGGAGCTGCCTGAGCAAAAAGCTGCTGCACAACGCTTTCTCTCTGCTGTAAGAGCTCCCTGGGTCAGAGGCACACACACAGTCTGTCTGTGCTGCTGTAATCAAACCAGCCCAGCTTGAGAAAGCATAAACACTGTGGTGGGCAGAAGAGACAAAAGTAGGGGGCCAGGAGGGAAAACAGTCATGTCACTGTTATTTCTTTAGCAGATGAGAGGCTGATCCAGGTCCCGCTGAAGTCAGTGACACAGTTCCTATCAAGTTCAACAGAAATGATCTTTAAGAGAATGCTTTCTTGCCAGATATCTGAGTAATATGGCTGGGTCCTACAGATTTCCATGGCAAAGAAAATCTTCCTTCCCCACCTCCACAGTTCTTCAGAGAATCAGACCTTCTTTAAAAGAGCAGCATCTTCCGGAGCGGGGGTATTCTATTAGCATAAGTATTCCTCCCATCCGCAGGCACCTTCCTCCTCTTTGCATATTAGGACTACAGAGGGGATTTTTTGGGGGTTTGGGGGTTTTTTTTACAGATGTGGGCAGAGCTTTAAAGACAGCAGCTACTTTATTTTGTATTTACATGAAATTTCACTCTTCCTACTCATACCTGGAGAAAAGTAAACTTGCAGAATAATGACTAGAAAGGTATCTATCTCTGCAGTGTAACAGGTAAAAACAGCTATCCCCACAAACTTCTGCAAACCAAGAGTAAATACTCACAAGCCACAGGGTTTTTTGACCTTGGATTAACACATCCTCTAACTTTGGTCATCCTGGCTCTCTCCTACACTGTGCCCAAACTTGGGGAAGCCATTCCAAGCTTTATGCTTGACTGTATTAGTGCATGTGTGTCAGCCGAATCCTGGTGAGAGAAGAGTTAGAGCCATTGCTGCAGTACAGCTCAGAGCACACGGACATTTTGAGTTTCGAGCTCACCTTGATAGCACAGCTGTTTACAGACATTTTATATCAAGAAACCTGTTGAAAGTCAGAGGTAAAACTTTACGTACTGTTTTATTAAATTATGTGGGATACAACAAAATGGAGTTCCAAGTCTTTCAAAATACAGAACTGTTCCCTGTTGTTTGTGTTCTTTTGCGTCTTAAGGGCAGAAATGGGACTTTGCTGAATAAGGTGAATGACATATTTGAGGAAAGAAGTACCCACATCATTACTATCAGGAAATGTGGTACATTAAGAAGGTAGGAAGAAATTTCTTAGTAGTGTAGAAGAGAGGATTTATTAGTTTGGATTATCCCAATGGGTGTTTGTTTCTCTCAAGACTCCAGCAAATTCTTTTCCTCCTTCAACTCCCAAAGCAGCATACCTTTGGAAAAATACCTACATTTCCCCCAGCTACTTTCTACTGACTCTAGTATGTCCTTACCCTAAGACCAATGATCTTGCTCTTCCCCTAAAAGGAAAGAATTCTACAGGGATTTCTTCAGAATAAATCCTGAGTTAGTACTTAGCATGGATGAAAATTAATGAAATAAATGGAAAAGCAGAAATAAAGGCAATGCTGTTTCCTATTGCATGCATACAGGCCACATATTCCGCATTTATTATCAATAACATTTACTTTCACAGATTCCTGAAATCAGTCTATGTACTGCCTTCCTATTGCACCTTACTGCACCAGGTGTTAAGTAAATGTCACTCACCTGAGTGTATGCTTAAATTTACGACTTCTGCTGAATTTGTGTGGATAAAGAGAGGAATATGTGACTTGTGGGAAAGCTGTGAGAATTCACTGTAGTTTTGAAAAACTGTTTTTTTTAAGATAACATTATTTTTAAGTTATAAAAAATGTATTTGACCCACAGATGATTTTAGTGTACATACTCATGCTCTTAACTAAAATACCTCTCTCCAAGGATGCTACTCGATTTCTACCACTTTCAGTGTGAAAAGCCTACATCTACAGGATCTGGGCATATTCTATAACCAAACTAATCTGAGAAAACAAATCTTAAAAAACAATATATGCAATACAGCTGTTTAGTAGCTCCTCAGGGCTTACTGGTGCTTACTGCCAGCTCTCAGCTTCTTTGCTTTAAGCAGTTTCTTTAAGCCAGTTTCTTTAGATTACCTTTTGGAGTACGTACTCTCGCCTCCATGCTGTCACCCTAGATGGCTCTAACAAGCCTCCTGCTGCCACTTTCTTGTTCTCAGGAAGATCTGTTAAAATTTTTATCTCCTTTTGATCTCTGGACCTTTCTCTTAACACTTTTCACAGCCTCCTGAAAATGGGATTCTTGAAGTCAATAATTTGCTTATTGTCTCTCTAGTGTAAACTTAAAATGTTTTTCATCTTGGAAGCTATTTCCGTATGTGTTCTTTTCACATTTCCTCTTGGATTCAAGTGACCTGGGATTTAATAATCATTTTAACACCTGAAATGAACACTAGCACCTGCCTACTGCTCAGTAACTAAGTTGTTTGTCAGTATTCTGGGATTTGTGTCTGATAGCTCCTCTCCTTTATACTGCTTGATCAGCACCTCAAAATACTGAGGTGCTGCAGTTGACAGAGGATTTTACATGTGAGGCCACATTTAAGGATGTGATAATAGAGAAAACCTCTTTACTCACAGGGAGTCCTTCCTGGCCTTTAGGGTCCATGACTTCGGACCCCTTTGAAGGATTGAAGCCTAAACAGCCATCCAGCACAGTAAGAAAATACTTGTCAGCCTATTATATTCCCCATAGCACTACCACCCCTCCAACTGATTAAAATAGCACAGTATTCTGTACCACAAAAGACTGTAATTTGTAAGGAATGCTAAGCACTTGGAAAGCACAAGGGGACACTGAGAGTGGGGAGGTCCTATCCCATAGACACTCTGTCCCTTTCAAATCATGGGAATACAGGCCCCTCGAAGTGAAATGCAGGCTTAGGAGATGAATGCTGTTCTTAGCTTGAACAAAACAAAACCCAATGTTTCCAAAACTACACAGCTCTCCCTTATCCTAGGATCTTTCTTCTAAAACAATGAAACCTTTTCTAGGTTGCATGCAAAGGAGGAACACGGAAGATAAGTTTATTCTTGCTCCACAAATGAAATCTGATTATATGCCAGTGTATACCAGCATTTACACATATGGAAAAGAGAATCAGAGAATCATTTAGGTTGGAAAATACTTTTCAGATCATCAAGTCCAACTGTAAACCCAGCACTGCCAAGTCCACCACTAAAACATGCAAGCACCACCTCTACATGCCTCCTAAATACCTGCAGGGATGGTGATTCCACACTTTCCTGCGCAGACTGTTCCAGGGACATCAGACCACAAGTAGCATCTAACGCCACCTCCAACCCACCATGGCATTGTAGGAGGACTAAAACGAAATGGACCAAATCTCCAGTTGATAAGAACAATCAACGTAAGTACTTCCAGACATTAAAGCATTGTCCTCACCAACTACCTGCAGGAGAACCAGCACCTTAGTTCACAGTTTTCTTTATACAACCAACAACCAGGAGTCAAAACCTGGATATAGATCTTACATAGGTGATACAATCACAGAACTCTATCTATTCCTACTTCCACCATTCACTGTTCTTTCTGGCCTACAAGAAAATCTTCTGCTGAGATATTTTTTCTTGGCAAAAAGTCTGAAGAACAAATGTCTCTGGCTCAAAAATTAAAATATGATTAGAAAAGAAAAAAATACCAGAAGAATTAACGACGTCTGTTATAACTCACTGTACCTCTCCCTTATAAGGAAAGAAAAATGCTACAGTTACTACAGACATGGGGGAAATCACATTAGTCATAGTACTTTTGAGAAATACCATCAGATTTCATGAGCTATGGAGGTCAGGTGGGACCAGGACAAAGTTTCAGGCAGCAAGCTCTGAAGAGCACCTGAACTGCTGCAAATGCTGCTGCTGAGCCACTAGCTGCATCCTACTTTCTAAGTAGATGACCCAAAATGGCATTAATGTCAGTTGCTAACAGACACTATCCTTGACATGACATGTAAAATCAAGAGACTTAACACTTTTGTTCATTAAAACTGGAAGGTACCTTTTGCAGGGAAAAGATTACTAATTGCCACATTTCAGCCAAATTCCAACACATTCAGGTTGTGCTATCCAGGAGCATGGAGGTAGGTGGGACTCACACAGCTCTGGGAGCTTCACTTTCAGTTGTGTTGAGGCTCATGGAAACACATCACTCTCAAAAGAACTCCAAAGAAGCCACACGTCCACAGTTTTTCCAGGAATGACATGAGGTGAGATTTGCAGGCTGCAGAGTATTGTGCTGTGATCCCTGGCCTTTTGGAATACGGGAAGTTGGACAACCTTCTGAGGCAAACTCTGCTGGAAGGAAAGAATGAATTTTTCACATCACAGTATTCTTTATGTGTTCCCTGGCACTCCCCTGACCCCTGGTGCAATTCATTCAGCCTGAAGGAAAGTTTTTGCTCCACCCAACCAAAGAAAAAGGGTAATTTTCTTTCAGATTGGTGAATTGGTTCCGTTTTTACCATGCACAAGAAATGCTGCAATAGACAAAATCAATCCACATAGCTGGGAAGAAGGGCAAGGAGGAGGAGTGAGACTACCCCTTTCACCTGAAGTGAGCTGTTGGGTGGATTCATTCTCATGTAACTTCCCTGCTGGTCTCTTTAAAAAGACAGAAGATGCCTCCGTGCATACAGGACCCAAAGTACCATCTAGAGGAACCTCTCTTCCCTTAGAGGAGAGAGTAAGCCTAACTTAAGACTGTACTTAAATCTTTTCCCTAATAAGGTCAGAATTAAAGCATCTCCACTAGATGAGGTAAATATGGGCCATGATATCTATGCCTTAATTCATTCTTGCCAAAAGGTCAGTGTAGATGGACCCAGAGGGAGGACTGCATTTAACATCTCATTCGAAACAAAAATCCTCCTTTTTTCTTGAATGCATGCTTTTTGCTCCTCTGACCAGGCACACCTGTTTTCTCTACTAACTCAAATCCTTGCAGCCATGTGTGCCCAGGGGATGGGATGGGAGGGGTAGGAGGAGAGAGAGAGTGTAATAAATAGCAGAAGCAAATAATTTACCCAGTAAAGAGCATTCCATGCTTTCTGTATGCAAATTCTGCATAAAAATTCTACATATATGGTACAGAACTACTCTGAACTGAACTCTAAAAATGTTTAATGCAAACACAGCTGTTATCAAGTGTTGTTCTTTCCAAGACTCCATTCAGTTTGATAGTTATCACTATGCCAACAGCATTCCCAGTACGAATCTCTCTTTCTGAGACTTTAACAACTGCTTTACACAAGAGAATTTCATTTCACTCTGAAACTTGGTCCTCTGGATCTTTACCAAATGTGCTCCTTCCTTCTAACAGCACCAGCTGAGCCCAAATCAACTCTAACAGATATGGACATTTAGCTAATTTAGGAGTTTAAGAATATTTTTTATTTAAGGACACATTTTACAACATCCCTCTTCAGCAAAATATTGCAGTGCCTTTAAAACAGACTCAAATCCCAGTGTTGTCCTAAGAGATGCAATATATGCGTTTAAACCACAGTATTTGGTAAAATTCAATAAAGTGTTTTGAATTGTAATAACACCTTATTCAAGTATCAGTTTTTGAAGGTTGAGGTAGATCAGAGTATTCTAACAAAATATTAGTGTGCTATTTCAGTTGACTGGTTAGATTGCTATCTGTATTAGCTTTTAGGAAAGGGGATTTTTCATCCAGCTATAGAGAAGGGTTTTTTGAAGAATCAGAAGTCTTCTAGGTTTATAATTCTGCAAAACTAAAGGGGATAGTACTTCACTTGTATTTCCTTCAAGGGGCTGATCACAGGACCTAGCTGTGCGTTGTGTCCTTGAGAAAACACCTAAAATAACGCAGCGGCTGGCATTTTCAAATGTCATAGGAACAGTAAGGTCAGCTCCCCAGCTGAGGTCTATTTAACTCAAATCAGGACTTGACCAGTTGATATAGGATATGGTTTAATATTATATACATGCATGTGATTTTAAAAATCTGAGCTGGAAAATTCTTATTTATTTCACTGAATGCCTACAAGAGAGATGGGAGTTTATCACTTCTTTGCATCCCTGCTTGTTCCTCCACCCTCATGGAATCAACTTCCATGCAGGAAGCAGGGATGGCAGCCTTGTCACGGCTGCCGCTCTTCATCCTTTTCAGATGGGTGGATCTTTCAGGATCATCCTTCTCCACAAAACAGCCAGCTCCACAGAGCTAATGAGGTGGAGCAGGTCATCTGCACACAAAAAGGAATGGGAACAGACCTCCTTCCACCCGTAAGCAGACAAGCATGTGCTGCAATGTGTGTTAGTGAAACATGGAATTAGAAGCATATCTAATATCAAGTCACAAGATAAGGTAATTCACAGCATTATTGTTGTAAACCCAAATCTTACCGTTCAAACTCCATTTTTAGACTGAAGTAAACCCTACCCTACACAACTTCAAGCCAATCAGGATAGCCTCTTACTACAGCTCATCTCTCTCCCTCATTAGCCTACCAAGCAGCAGCTTCAGAGGCAATTGGGGGGTTACTTATGCACTGTAGTTATCAACTGATAGTCTGTCCCTGGGAAAAGCAGAGAAGTCTCTAACATAGGCCAGTTACTTTCCTCTCTTAAACCTTCTTTTGCTAAAGTACATGGTAGGGAAAACCCAATAAAAAGCCTGACAGTTTTTTGCATCTCTGTGACTGGCAGTAATTTACACAGGTTTGACTCCATCTGGCACAAATATAGCTTTGAGAAAAGGAGTAAACAAAGGCATATGGGACTGTCCACTAGAAATTAAGTTATCAAGCCTGACTCCTAATGGTGAACAGTGGTGTTAAGGAGTCCTGGTCTGACTTGGCAGTGGGCTGAGTTCCGTGATGCCTCTGCCCTCAGTATCACACATGGAGACTGTATAAAGCCCACGCTCAGGGTCTTTTGGAGTTCCTGTGATTGCTTTTAGGATTCTTGTCTGCATCAGGTACAAGGATGTGCTGTGGGTTCTGGCTTTGATTTCCTAAGCTCATCTGTAACCCTTTACAAGAGGGTGGCACTGACGGCATACAAACTGTGCATTTGAAAAGCAAGTGGCTAGCAGTCGACTTTCTGAGAATAGTGCCAGAGTTGAACTTGAGGCTTTGCTTTGTAGTACAGTTTCCCATCAGCAACACAGATGGACAGAGGGTCATCAGTTATATGACACTACACTGGATGTGCCAAATTTTGGTTCCTCCCTCAAAAGAGACATGTTTTTGCCTTTATGAAGTACAAGGTAATTGTTCAGGTATAGAAGAAAGTTTGTGGCTGAGAGAAACATCTTTCCTCAATAGACTATTCGAAATTACTCCACAGGGACTTCCACACACTCTCCCAGAGAAATCACACAAAAAGCACAGACAAGGAAACAAAAGATGACTGAAGCCATGTCACAGCAAGGAGGAAGCCCAAAACCTTTACCTCCGGGTGTATTTAATGGTACCTGGCATTGTCGACATATGATGAAACTGCCTTGCAAGAATAAGCTGGAATGGCCATTGGCTCAATGCAGACAGACTTCAGAAGTCAAAACACAACCCTCAGTTTCCCGAAGTCGATTGATAGTCTTAGAACTCCCTGAAGGAAACTAATGAAGACAATCTGCAAGAGACAGAAGACAGACAGTAGGGAAACTAGTAGTTTTCCAGGAACTAAGGTAATGTATAATTACAATGAGTATGGAAGATTCCAAGTTCAGGAGGAACTTTTGGATAAAATCCACATTGACAACCATGATGTTACACCAGGAACCATCCCAAAGCTCTTGACAGACTACAGAAAATAGTTTTTAAATTATCTTCTCAGAAAACTTTCCAAGCAAGGAGAAGAACAATATGTAAAAGTTTAGTTCATTAAGTAAGTGGTGAAGGGAGAAATCTGGTTTTGTATAGCAGTGGAAGAACTTTAACAGAGGGTTAACAACCTCCTGGAAGATAGGTTGAGAATCTCCTATCAAACTGGTTGAAAATGGGATAATTATGATACAAATGCCTCGATGCATATGTAATTGGACAAGGGTTCAACCAGGAAACAGCACTGTGATTCTAGGAATTATGTAGCCTAACAACATGTCACTGCTCCTTTGCTGCAGGTTACAAAACCACAGCTCAGCCAGCAAGAGATCAGACTTTTCCTGGTGCAAGTATCAGCCTAATTAGCAGTTTAGCAGTTCAGAGTAGCAATTCAGATTAGTAGTTCAGACAAGCAATTTTAGGACATGGTCCAATGGTGCTTCTAAGCAATTTAAAAGTAAACTGTCACTAAAAAGGGTGGTTACCCTTATGTCTTCTCTTGTGCCATGTCTAGTGCTTATCTACCTGTATAAGATGGTTTAGGGTGCAGTTACACAAGACGGCTATTTAGCTGCTGAAAAATGGTAGATAGCAGGATTGTATAGAAGGAAGTAGGGAGAAGCAGACGTATCTCTTTCAACAGCAGGGCAAGATGTTAATTCAGCTCAACCGTATGATACAACTTTTTCCTCAGATTTCCTAAAAGGAGAGGTAAAAAATCAGGATTTAAGTTGACTGAATTACTCCCCAGAGATTTCTGCCTAAATTATAAAAGGAACTTAATGTGATTGCATCTTAACCCTAAGAAAAAGTAAGTAATTACCAACAGGTTTTCTTTCTTCAAGCTGCCTCACTACACAGCCTCATGTCTACTAAAGCTTGGCGGAAGAAGGGAATAGGAAAAGCAGAGATGAGTGTGATGCTGAGGCAGTTCTGGTTTAGAGAGAATCAAAACTTGTGGACATGCACGCTGATTTAATCTGGCTGATTTTTTAAGAGCTGGGGAAGAAGGAATCTTTACATTCTAATGGTGAATAATAGATGAGGTAATAATATCTGAAACTGGCACTGCCAGACCTAGAAGACAGTGTTTAAGGGTAATTTAATGTGATGTGGTTTGAGAGAGATTAAGCTTAAAAACCTGCTTTCAAGCCTTTGTCTGTAATGGATAGAAAGAAAAACTGTATTATCACGGATGGATCCATTGGCCATTTTAATACATATTGAAACATGCAGGTTTTGTCAGCAAGATGGGAGATTGACTTGGAAAGCAGTAAGGATTCAAGGGGACAGACATGAAGCCCTGAGACCCTGTGGCAAAAAATAGTTTGTTTGATCATCAGATGTCTATGAAGTGGATGCAGAGATGCAACACTGCCTTTGTATGCAG